CCCGGCGGCGCCGTCTCCTGTGAGAGACGAGACCATATGTTACCCACAAAAAAAAAGTCTATAATTGCCTAGAAATGCCAAAAGGTGGTGGCAAGGCATTTTTTTTTTCAATTAGACAAAGCTATGGCCTGACAAAATGAAGCTCCTCCACTCCAGTTGAACACCACAATATAGCGCCAGAGCAATATTTTTATATCAGACATGGCTTTGGCTGAACACAAAAGCAGAGATAAATTATTATGATTCATGCTGAAGTGAGTTGAAGATCGTCACATAGACAACAGTACTCCTTTGCAACAATTTATGGTATTTATAGTTAATTACAGAGTCAATTACTTACACATTTTCACTACAGCAGCAGCAGGGCTCTGTCCTGAGCCCCTGTGACAAAAGCAGAGATAAATTATTATGATTCATGCTGAAGTGAGTTGAAGATCGTCATTTAGACAACAGTAGTCCTTTGCAACAATTTATGGTATTTATGGTCAATTACTTACACATTTTCATTACAGCAGCAGCAGGGCTCTGTCCTGAGCCCCTGTGAATTTCAGAGATCGCAGTACATCATGCACAATTGAGCTTACAATGACCTTGACTAGACACGTTCATGCAGAGGTAGATGCCATAGATGGGGTACACGTAAATGGTGCCGGGCTTCATAAACATGGCAGTGTTTCTCTCTGTGCGCTTGCCGCCTGCCGAATGTGACGCCTTGTCTTCTCCCCCCAAGTACGCCTCCGTCTCCACAACGCGGCCTCTCAGCTCAGTGCCATCCTCGCAACGCCGCACCAGGACCTGCAAATGAGTATGTAACACATAACGGTATGTAAAACTTTTTTTTGTAATGGATTCTAAGCCTAATGGTGAATTAATCACTAATTGCTGAAAAAAAGTGATATTGATTTCTACAAGCAGCACATTAGGCACACCTGCACATGTTGTGCGATACAATATTATATCCAAAATTCTCTGAGAAAAACATTTTTGGTTTTGATTGACACTTAAAGATGATTGGCGCAACTTACACTGATATAGATGCATTATCATATATTTGTAATAAAAACTGTCTTAGTGCACAATTGGCTGTGTCAGAGATGATAACAGCACTTGAGATCTTAACTCAGGAGATATTGTCATCTTTCTCCATTTTTTTTGTAATTATGACTCATGCTGTTGATATGATTACCGGTAGATTATATGGTAATTAAACTTTTGTGCGCAACTGACACTGTTAGACACGTTGTTGAACTAAATGTTAATGTTTTCGTGTACAATAGAGAATACAAAGCCCTTGAAATTCAATTTAGCTTAAGTTACGACTTAATTACAATGAGTGTGCTGAATAAATTAGCTTAACTGCTGTTTTGGTGTTCCCGGCCACCAGATGCCACTGAAGTTACCTTGCCAAGAAAAGCTTTGGCCAAAGCGACGCAAGGTTGTGTGAAGAAATCCTCTCTCAGCCTCCTTGGCAGGTCAGTAGTTTGACCACCATTAAAGTAAACACTGTGCACCGTCTCATTCCGTTTCGTTTCTTCACAATCACGTGAGCGTTTATTTGCTTTTTGGTCACCATTCCGTGACGGCGTCTTTCTCTTACGCTCTGCCATTATGTGACATTTTCATATGCATTGTTTTGGAGAAGTGAAGCGCTTTATTATGATTAACGAAATGTAAATGAGCGAGGGCTAACCAGGAAGTAAATACAGGAAGTAACACGAGCAGTTTTTCCCTTAAAGGGCTCGCGCACCATTTAATCGAGCCAGTACACGAGACGTTGTTTAATGTGAAAAAAATTATTGCATACAAATTTTAAACACACTCTAAATATACTTTTCATTCTGATCATATTTGTTTAAGTTGGAGGACTGGTTATCACGTCTGCGTCACAGTTCTGCGGTTCTAATACTGTATCTGTATGAATGTGGTTGTACCTTCTGCCATCTAGTGGAAGAGCATTAAATTGCCCTCCCTGTCATTATACGTCGCTGGCATAGGTAGATGAACAACGTATATTTGTCATAAATAAATATTGATTTTCAGACAAATTGAGTAAAAGTGGATAATTTTCTACGTCAACTCTGATGATCTCTCATAGCAGATAGCTTTAGCGTCAAGATATATCTGTACAGACAGGCAGAGCAATTAAAAGCGGCAGAATATACAATAAACCTGTGCATTCACCTCTTGCCATTCATACAGCAAATATTTCACACCGACTAAGTACATTTGTGAGTTAATAATTGAGAAAAAAAAATCTGCATAAATTCAACATTTATAATTTCTGTGATTTTTTTTTTTTTTTTTTTATGTATGAGGGTGACTTGTGAGATTTTTCAAATATAACAAGTGTATTTCTCCTTCCCCAGTCTTATTCTTTTGCCATCATTTAAAAACAGTTGACCCTAGTAAGTGGTTATAAATAGAACTCATGTGTGCTTTTGCCCAGGAAGTGAGCGACGCCAATTTGGCTTCAGGCACTCTGGATCCCTACGGTTTCCCTGGCAGACTAACCGTTTGTGACAGACCAAAAAAAAACATCTCTTCTTCAGGATCGTACTATTTAAAATTGCATAATAGAGGATTGCTTTTGCTCTTCTATTTGATAAACGTGCCACAATTTGTTGCTTTGAACCGGCTGGCAGTTGGCTGGAAATGTGCTGACCGTGTCCAGTCAAAGTCGTCCCTTGCGTGGATTGTTGACTTTAAGTGTCGGATGGCCAAAACGGCGGAGAGGCCACTGTTTGCTTAGCCACCTCCCTGCAGCCTGTCACCGGCCGCCCAGTGAAGTCTGACCTCCCTTTGCTGTTACGATCACAATCTAGTTGCTGTTTGGATAATCTCAACATCTCTGCGCCAGAGATACTTTTCAAAATATCTGGCAAAGCGCATTCATCTTCACCAACGGAACATGTGAAGCTCATTACTGCGAGAGCGAAGGGGGACATGTGTATCTCCTCAGCGCTTGATGCTTTTAATGATTCATGGCGTAAGGATTAATGATTCATGCGGCCCTTTCAAGCCTCCGAAGGTGTGGCGTGTGATGCACAGGTGGTCTGTCTCTCGTTGTGGTCAAACCATTAATTCCGTGAAGACGCACACACACAAAAATCACACATGTCCTTGACACATTCAGCAAGTGAAATTGGTGGGGGAAAAATGGAGTTCTACCTCATCTTCAGCTTGAATACACTCCACTCCTCTTCGTACGAGATGTTTCAGTGAGTCCATTGAACGGGAAGAACATTCATGAGTTGGAAGTCTATGTACTAGTTCATCTCAAATTTTTTGTTTACAGGGACTGAATTGTTTCCAAAGAACTCCTCATAATCCGAATACTAATTGAACAAAGCGAGCATGTGTACGACAAAAAGTTCCCTATTTTGTAAAGGGGGGGGTCATAAATTTCTAACAAAAATTTTGAGGGAGGGGAAAAAAAAAGTTGTAACCTTATGGTAATAAAAACATATTTTGTGAGGGTAAAAAGGATGTAGTCTTGCACAAATCATTATCTGAGGAAAGTGATACACTGACATTAAAGTCAAAGCCTGTCAGCCTAAAAATGTCCTCATTTCAGCCTACAATCACTCCACTTGAAAATTGCAAAAACACATTTCGTGTTTTCTATGTACCGGTAATCTCAGCATGTGTACTACAAAAAGTTCCCTATTGACATTAAAGTCAAAGCCTGTCGAGCCTAAAAATGCCCGCATTTCAGCCTCCAATCACTCCACTTGGAAATTGCGAAAACACATTTCGTGTTTTCTATGTACCGGTAATCTCTACTTGGCGATCTTATTGTGCTGTTTTTACAGTATGAATAAAGACAGTTCATGTAAGCGCCTTTCTTGGGGCAAAATTTTCCTTTGTTTCATAAAAATTTTCATGTCATCTCGTTTTACTTAAAGTGATATTGTTCCGAAATATATCGGCAAAATTTTCCTTCCTTTGTTTCATAAAAATTTTCATGTCATTTCGTTTTACTTAAAGTGATATTGTTCCGAAATATATGAAGCTGCACATTCGTATTTTATATTTTTGTCTACTTGACGGTCATGCTTGGATAAAAAAAAAAAAAAAAAAAAGAAAATTATCATAATAAATCTGAAATTACTACTTACTCCTCTGAGTATTCTTTCTCCAGTCATTATTTGCAGGGCTGCTTTTTACTTTTACATTAGCAACGTGAATGTAAAATAACAGGAACGGCCCAACGGCGTATTTAGTTCTGCTTTTCAGAGAATGGGATCCCTTGACGAACCATTTGATGAGAGTCAAGTCAACAGACAAAGAGGGAATGGCCCAACGGCGTATTTAGTTCTGTTGGGATCCCTTGATGAACCATTTGATGAGAGTCAAGTCAACAGACAAAGAATATGACAGTGAGTGGAATGTCTGTTGTCATTCAAACGTTAGCCGTTATGCAGCTGCTTGGTGGAGCGCTTGTGCGCATTCTGCAAATGTTTCACCGGATTCAGGCAGTAAAACTTTTTTTTTTCCAGGCCCGCATCTATAGGGTTTTTTTTTTTGTGCCCTCTTTGATTTTTGTTTGTTTGTTGTTTAGTTCTTCTTCTGCTGCAGTGTTCAGCAGCAGTGAACATGCATCATGCTCAGTGAAGCAAGCTGCTCTTAAGGGCAGCAATGGCGCCCCCCCCACCCCAACCAAAAAAAACAAGAAACTCAGTCTGTGCTCTTCCAAGATTCGATCATTCCTCCATTTGGTCAAAGCAAAGAGGAAACCTTTCTTAATTCTGAAGACAGTGTTCTTTTTAGTGAAGCATTACCCTGCCACTCAACCCCATTTATCAGCGTTTGATAAATGAGGCTTCAGGGGCTGGGCCTGGGGAGTGGGAGGGGGGAGGCTTTTACCCCGGCCTTAACCCACGTCTGTCCCGGAGGAGAAACGTCACCATTCATTACCCCTCCCTGCTTCGTGCATTGTCAATCAGAAACTCCCAGCAGGCTCGTCACCGCGTCTTACATCCCTCTAGTGCGTATTAAGTCTAATGAATGAACTCCTGTGGTTGATCAGCAGCACTATGGAGAATTTCTCTGAATTATCTTAACTGAACCGAGCAGTCAAATTAAATGAATGTGGATACATTTTCACTGTGAGAATAGTATCTGGTAATAATAAGCAAGTGTCATTATGCTTGACGTTTAAGTAAACGACCTTCACGAAATCTGCTATCCTGTGACTGCCCCTCAGTAGTTACGGAATATGACAGCACTTTATAACATCTGTCTTCAAGTGCCTTAATGGAGACGCAGATAAGAAGACATTTCCAAGGAAACGGAGCCTCTCGTGTACTAAAAACCTCAGCCGAGGACGACCGCCTTACACCCTTGTCAGCATGTCGGAAGCCTTCCGCTTCCCACCATCCATCTCCCATCTGGCAAAATATTCCCAGGTGGAGCAGAGCTGTCGCTCAAGCTCTGATGGAATGCGCGTGGTCTTTTCATTAACAGCGGAGTGCTACAGCTCAATCTGAAGCTTCCGTTCCGTTCCCTTTTGCAGAGTAGCGATAAGTGATTGTGGGCTTTAGATTAAAAAGAAAAAATACTGACAAAGCATGATCCGTGAACGTGAGTTAGGATGTGTCTATAAGCCGCTATAATGTGAAATAATGTCAGTCCACATATGGAAATCTCATTTTTACGTGTGTGTGTCCTCGGATATCTTCATCCCCTCCATCTGTCCACGTTGACGACGGCCTTCTTTATCGCTGCTTGGGATTTACATTTCCTGCAGCATTGAGTGCATGGTGGATGCATTCCGTCTGCCTTTTGGCGCCCTGTTAGCATTCGGCAGCAGACTCCATGCAATTCTAAAGACAAATCCGAGGAAATGACATTAAATGAACCAGTCAATTTTCATTATGAACATCATCGCATCAGATTTGTTTATAAATTTTGGAGGGGCCTCAGTTGTATTGGATCATTCTTCATTGCACATCACCATTCACAAGCGAGATGTATAGGACGTTTATTTTGTTTGAGCCACCGAAAAAGTTAGCATTGGCTTAAGCAAGCAAAATATTGTACTAGATTCAATCCGCTTTTATCCAGTTCACCTTTGATTGTTATGTGGCAGCCTGCATTTTTGGTAGCACGCCAAAGAGAGAGAGATGACTCATTGACAGAGGAGCCAGCCTTGATTTTATAGAACATGGATTCCCCCGAATGTCATTGAAATCTGTGAAGAAGATAAAGCACACTTGAAATTATCTATCGCTATGTATTTACGTACCTTTTTCATCACACAAACGTATTCACAAGAACGTTTCAACATTCACAAAAATATATATCTATATTGTGAACGTCTGTCTCTCAGCATTTTCACAATTAAGAATATTAAGAAGTTAAATACAGTACATATGGGTATAACAAAAAACATTTGAACTGGAAAATTGAGTTTGGAGATGGAAGTGCTTCGAATCGAATCGTTCCATATATCGAGATATCTATATAAAATAAAAATGTTGAAGCACAAAAGGCCAAATATGCTTTCCCATTAGCATTTTAATACTTTGTAAAATCCATTCATTTTCAACACTGCTTAATCCTGAATCCAATCCCAGGTGACCACAGGCGGAAGGCAGACTCCACCCCGAACTGGTCGCCAGTCAGTCACAGGGCACAAATAGAGACAAACGACCATTCACAACCACGTGCACACCGTCAACGAGTGGGAACCGACCCACGCTGCCCACACACAAGTCTGGCGAGCCATCAGCGACACTTAGTAAAATAATGACTTTGAATAGAGTCACCACACAATAGTGTAAATATTGGTCTCTCAGCATTCACAGAATGTTTTTTTTTTTTTTTTTTTTTAGTATGACTGCTCGTCTGTCAGCATTCTCACAATTACGAGAATATTGTGAAACCAGTTATTATTGTCACGCAATGACGTCAGCGCGAATCACTGTGACTCAGCGTTGACCCCAAAAAATCAACCATATCATGAGAATGAATGCACATCTCTTAGCATTCACAAATATAATTTATAATACTTATTTTTTTCCCCCAGCACACAACCGTATCCGTGTGAACGTTTGTATTTCAACATTCGCATAAAAAAAGCACATATTTCACACTACAGTGAGCCCTCGCTACTTCGCGGTTCAGTGCATCACGGATTTTTTCAAACATATAAAAAAAATAAAAAAATATATTTTTTTTTTACATATACATGGAGTACAGTACTGTATATGTTGCTCTATGTGGCTCGCTGTTGTTTTGCAGCTTCTCGCGGACCGTTTGCGGACTTTAAAAAAAAATGGACCTGTTTATGTTAATTGTTTCATATTTTCTATACAGAAACGCTGCGGTTCGTCACACGTCTCAGTGGGACCGAGGCCAGTTTCGGTGGCGATCACTCCGAGTGAGGACGTCGCTTAGTCACCGGCGCAGATCCCGGCAAGGAAAGAGAGGGAGAAGGCAGCACCTCCCCGCTCACACGCAGATTGGCTGCCGCCGTTCGGCTGCCTCGCCTCCTTCCCCACAGACGATCTCCGAGTCCAGGGCGGGGCTCACACGTTCAAACCCGGCACAAGAAAAACTTGGGCCGGGTCGATGCATGGAGCAGTGTGGGAAAGCCGTGTTCGTCGGTGGGAAGCTGAGACGCGGACGGCCGGGTTCCATCCTCCAGGGACTCCGGTGCGGTTAAGAAGCGTGGCCGGATTTGACGACGCGAGGCAGCGCCGGCGAAGGATTTGTGGCGACGCCGGAGGAGGAAGGAAGGAGCCTAGTGGTGCTGGTGGGAGGGTGGGGAGAAAAAGCGACCGAGAAGAAGCGTTTCATTTCCCTGCTTGCAACTCGTCAGGATGATGTGACAAGTCCCGAGCGAGAACGCGGAAATCGGATTTATTTCCCCGCCGCTGGAGAGCACCCGAGCCGCCGGCTTTGATGGGTGAGTTGCGGCTACGATTCCACCAGCATGGTGGTCACGCGTGTGGAAGGTCGAGGAAGAGGAGCCCAGCTTCCTCTTCTTTCCTCCTCATCCACTCTGATGATTTATTAATTTTTTTTTGAGTGTACGCGGTGTGGATTTTTCACAGTGGAAGTAGCAGGTTTATTTTAATATGCCGTTGGAAAAGTAAGTGTACTTTCTTGGAGTCAGTCAGTCCACTTAATAGGCTTTATTCTAACTTTGTGAGGGGAAAATGTGTGTGTGTGTGTGTGGAGGGGGGGTGAGGGGGTGTTAGCAGCTAAGAGGAATGTTGTGCAAAGGAATGAGGAATGCTGCTGAATAATCATCACGGGGTGAAGTCACGCCATCATCCTCGTCGTCTCCCTCCCACTCCATCACCTCCTCCGTCCTCTTCATCTTCATCATCCCATCTTCCCAACCCATTATTCAAGGCACATATTTTACACGAGGGAAAAAAAATCCTAAACAAAATGAAGTCATCGCGTAACTTCTGCCATCTAATTCTAAGAGAACTGAATTGTCCTCCTTGTCACTGCATGTTGCTGGCATAGATAGGCGAACAAAGATTAAATAAATGATCATTTCCAGACCAATTAACTGGCCCTGCATGATTTCCCTCAGCACACCTGGTGGGCCTAAAGCCGAGCAAAACAGCAGGCCGGCATGTGAAGAGAAAAGCGGCCATGTGCTTCCCATATTCCCGGTCGTTTGAACCTGAAAAGTTTATTCTTGCCTGTTTTTTTTTTTTAAATTATGTTTCAGGTGGGCCGTGATGTCCTCCACCCCACTTCCCCCGCCGCGGTTTATTAGAAACTGCTGAGTTATTTTGGCAGACGTGACACAGGAGCACATGGGCTTGAAACCTTATCGCATGGAGGAAGGGGAGGGCGCTCATAGTTGGGTATGATGTAACCACACCGATAAAGCCAGCCGGGTCCTGGGCCACCGTTCTGATATGGGGGGTGGTGGGGCGTCCAAGTCCGGCCTTGTGTTGACTGTCTGGTATGTGGGAGGGTTTTTTTTTTTATTCTTCAGGGGGTCTGCCCTACAAGCCGTGCCCGCATGACTGCTGGCACACTGTCTGTATATCTGCCTGGCTGTCTCGCCAAGTCCATCCAACATTTGTTTACACCGCGTAGTACAGTACAGACGGGTTCGGTTCACTTTGGTGCGGTTTGCAGATGTTGGGGTTTCCATTGTCAAAAGCTTTAAGGTGCTCTTTGCCACAAAAGAACCCTGTTGGGATCTGGCATGAAACCACTTTAAGCATAAACGGCATTGATATGGAATGTTAGGAGGCAATACCAATTTTTTGCTGCATGAATGTCTGGTCCGGTTTGGTTCACTGCGCTACAGCGCAAGGCTGTTTGCATTTCCACTGCTAAAGGATTTGTTGGGTACTTTAAGGCAGACATTTTGGGGCTTTTCAACACGGAAGAGGATTTAAAAAAAAATAAAATAAAATAAATTTATTATCAACCGTAGTCTGGCTCTCTGAATAAATTTCTGGTCTGGTTCAGTTCACTTCAGTACAGTACACAGGTATTTGCATTTCCATTGTCAATGACTTTGAATAGGAATGTTCAATACCACTTTTTTCAGACTGATACTCATTCACTGATACAGAGTACCGATACTTTTATTGCTTTTGATATTCTAAAATTGCACTTAACGCAATGATATAAAATTGAGGCAGATGATGATTTTGCTGATTTATCAATCTGCCGCAGTATAGCACAGAGGAGGATTTACACTGTCAGATTTTTTTTTCTATAAATATTGGTGGATGGTATCGTCCTGATAGCGATAAATGGTATTGGTACTTGCCCATCCATAGTTTTGAATTGTACGTTCTCACTTTTTGGCAGGTCTGTAAAGTCCAGCTTTTTTCATGTCACTGTTGTGTTGAAATTTGATATGAATTGGTGGCATGTAAGACCAAGAACTTTAAACGCCATCCATCATTTTTTGCCAACAATTGTTTATCGGTCTGGTCTGGTTGGCTTCACTTCTTCACGGTGCACAATTGTGTACATTCCACTGTCATAAACTCTGACGGGTACTTTACCACTGTTTGGCCCTGACATCTTTCCACATTTTGTCACTTGTTGCGTCTACCGAATATTTTAGATGTCACACCAGATTATGGTATCAACATCATCTAATTATCTGATTGCGTGCCACTGTCTAAAAGCAATTACAGCAGTATCCTTAAAAAATACAAAAAATCCCCAAAACATCCACCCATTATCTGTATGCGCTGCGTCCACCTAGCCTTCCTGTCCTTAGGCGAGGGAGCGGTCGCCAGTCCACATTGTTTCTCACCGCATCTGACCACGTCGGTGTGACGAAAATAAGAGCTTACAAAACGGTACCTTGGAGGGCTGTGCTGCCCCGCAGGGTTTGATGGAAACGTGGCTCTGCAGAGCACATTAGAAACTGATTTTGTTTGAGTGCGTCCACCTCAAGGCATCGTGATAAGCGGACTAATGGTTTCAAGATGACGACTTGTGGGACCAGTCTCGCTTTGGCGCTCTGGGTTATGGTACGACGCAGACGTCATTTTTGCAAATAGGATTCCAGGAAGAAGCTCGTGAAGGTTGTGCTCCAAAACGGTGGTGTGATTGCCCATTCTGGATCAGAACCGTTACACATGTGCTACATATGGATCTAAAAATAGATTAAAACACCCCCTCTCCCTGAGACAAAAATTTGGGAGATTTTATTCAGCCATAAATGTGTTGCTCAAACTATATAGAGATGCCACTTAATGTCATCATGGTAGCCCCTCCTACAGCCGCCGCAGTGAATATTAAGTGTCACAAAGACACGGTCAGAAGCCACTGAGAGCAGTTTGGAAGTGGTAATCGTGCAGATCCAATCATTGTAATTTTGAAGTTGTTACTTCAATATGAAATTATTCCATAGTATACATGAATGAGCATGTAAATCAATGAGCTTTGATATTGGCCAGTATACGATCAACCTGATTTTGGAGTTGCTATTTGAATGTCAAGACTATTCTATACCGACACTTTAACCCTTTCATGCACCCTGTAAGGTGATAACATGATAAGCTGTCCACTGTAGTAACCGCTGTCCACGAAAGGGTAAATGAAAGCTTACATCTCACACGCCGTATTATGGACTGTTTAGGCCAATACGAACCTAATTGACTTTCTGTGCTGGATTGATGATAGCCTTTATAAATGATCAAATTCCAAGTTTTTGGCTCGCCTGCTAATGGAAATTGTAGTTTGCTGGGAGCAGGACGTTGGCCCCAAAATAATGTTTTTTTTTTAATGTGAGGAAAATGACTTGAGATGTCTTTAAAAGTAAATAATTACCAAGCGTAGTTCTCTTCATATTTGTGACGTCATCATTCCTGTGTGTGTGTGTGTGTGTGTGTGTGTGTGTGTGTGTGTGTGTGTGTGTGTGTGTGTGTGGACAGGTCAGACGTGTTAACCAACTTGTTTTGCCGCCTACTTTTACTATTCCCACGTCTCAGTACAGACACTCAGAACATTTGCTTTTGCGCTGGCTCGATAGCAAGCGAGCTTATCATCTGCTCGCACTCTGGATGGGTTTGCACTGCATGTCCTAGTGTCCAATTCCGATATAATGCCTATTTGTGATTTATTTTTGATTGCTTTTTTTTTTTTTGGGGCCTCGTCTATTTCCCTGTGCATTTCTCAAACGATACCGGATATGACTGTCTAGATGCTGATGGCAGATATGAAACAACCTGCATGTAGATAACAGCATTAGTGTCACCAACAGGAAGTAAACAGTTTATATATATATATATATATATATATATATATGTATGTGTATATATATATATATATATATATTAGTGTGAATACTGAAAATTCTAAAGCATTTCGTTGCCCCAGACTGACTCTTCCTGCATTGATTTAAATGAGGGGAACCTCCACATTTCTTCTCCGGCACTTATTTTGATGACATAATGGGTGACAAGCATGTTTACAGCATATGTAATTGCGAAGCTTTCTCTGGAGTTGAGATTGACAGTGGGTGTTTTTGAATGTCTTTCTTTGATTTGTGAAGTGTGTGGATGGGAGTGTTTACGTCAGCGTTTCCAAACCTTTGTTGAGCCAAGGCACACATTTTACACAAGAAAAACCCCCGAAACAAAAACGTCCCTAAAAAATTATAAAACATATCGTGATAAGTCAACTGTCAATTTCCATTCCCGGCTGGAGTTTAAAACAAAAAACAAAGTTTTAACTACCCCTTGTTTATTGAAACAAGACTTTGAAAAGTCAGCTAGCTTAATGCTAACACACAATCGAGAAACTAGCATCGATGTTATCGTAGCTATAATTGGACCTCCTGAAGGACCAGAATGTCAATATGAGTTGAAGCGTGAAATGACGCAAATGGGGAAATTTTTCAATTCAATTCTGTAGAGTACTTTTTTTTTTTCTTTAACAAACATTTTCGTTGGTGTTTTGTGGGGCTGGAACAGTTGAATGGAATTTCAGCGGGGAGAAAATGATTTGAGACTAAATTGATTTAATTCAGATTGAATTTCCATTCACATTTGGAAAAGGCCTGATTGTGATCCGATGTGTTTTTTCTCCTCATGCTGCCGTGACGCATGTCCCTATTGTGCCGCTTGAATGCAAAATTTAAAAAAAAAAAAGAAAAGAATCGGAATTGTGTCACTTGACCCACGCGATGCCAATGCATCCTCTGACAAAGTTAGGAAGAAATAATAAGTAGAACAATGGCGTGTGACTAGTTCCTGTGTGCTCCTCAAAAAGGAATGTAAACAGATGCTTTTGCCTTGTCCTCACCGCTTTTAATTACACAGGAAGTCTTTTCCCTTCTTTTTGAAGCCGGCACACATTAGCATTCTACGGCTGCCGCTCGCTCTTCCTGGAAATACGCTTGGCTCGGCGCGAGTGTCCCTCCCGTGGGTTTGTGTGACTCACAGGCGACGGCCGTGACAG